ATTACGATGTTAATTTAATTTTCGGAAAAACTTAACTTTATCTTTCATCCGTATTGCAAAATATTAATTTTGTAAATTAATGTAAGTAAATTATATATTTTATCGATTTGGAATACTGTTAATTTTTCTTTTATTCAGGATATTTATCACTTGGTTTTTGTCGAAAAATCTTTCGCGCCCAATTTATTGAAAATGGCGCGTAATTGCTCAGAATCATCCATGTTTTGATTTGATTTCATGGGCAAGTATATGCTTAGAAAGCTATGAATAACGTTGAGTGATAAATGGGCCAGTTCTCTCAAATGTTTCACGCGAGTGGAGTGGACCTTGCGTGTGAGTGCAGGCATCCGAGTAACGTCACCCCCTTGGTGACGAAAGGAATGGCAGGGAACCGAGAGCTTTCTCGTGTCTCTCTCTCCGATTGTTGTGCACCCTCGACCAATCTCCTTCGGTTTGCACAAGCCGAGTTTGCCAAACGCGTTTTTCGACCTTCTGCCGTCCCTTTATTGTTCAACCTTAAAAGTAATATCCCCGTCCACGTAGCACGTCCTGCCCACATTTCGCCGACATTATTTCTCCCTTGACCGGGAAAACGAAACTTTTTGCTCGTTTGTGACATTTAGAGGGAGGTTAAACAGTCTTTATTATTACGGTGGATGTCTGTGTTTGTATATAAATATATTTTTAAACACAGTTTTGTCGAAAATTTAATAATTAATACGTGTAGTTGATAACTTTGATATCATAAGAATTTTAAAAATAAATTAATAAATAGATTGAATGCGAAATATCATTTTACATTAACACAAAAAGATAAATGCAAATCTCATAAAATTGAGATGATATGAACTTAATTGATAATATTTTTATATTAAATGTAAAGTCAAAATAGTAGATTTAATTTTAGTTTATTGATCAAAAATGAAGATTAATCCGCCAATATTAATTAAAAAACAGGAATCTTTATTAAATCGACGCAAATGGCGAGTAACAATAACGCTTAGTCACAGAGTTCGCCTAATGAGAAAAATCAAATTATGGAAGCTCTTGTCCTTCTCTCACTTTAACTCTTTGGACCAACTGCCGCTCTGCAGTGTGGTCTAGTAGTCTTAAATTTATTGAATTGAAACAATATCTGCCTCTCTCGTATTAGATATCCGCTTCTTCCCATTCAAGCTTTCATTCTAGGCTTCGATATAAATTGTCTTTTAGAGATTTGATTTTGGATTCCTCTAGAATTAAAGCATTTCTACTTTTCTATTTTCGACAGCTCTAGTATTCAAGCTCGTTATGGTAAATCGAAATTCATACATACGAATTAAATTTTCTATTTCGAAGAGAGATTGCAACTATAATTTAACTGCAACGTCCGTTATTTCTTTCATGGAGATTTCAATTTGTTAACGTTCGTAATATTTATCTGCTTAAATATCTTAGTTAAGATGCAAACATTGGTAAACATTATTGTACACGTGAAATAAATTAATTTTTTAATTAACTATTGAGTTTTGCATAATGAAGAAATGTTTCTGGAATATCAAGTTTCCTAGTCGAATATCATTTATTTCACTATAAGGTGGGTAATGAACGTTTTTAAGTGGTTCGGTAAAGCTAAGTTTCCGAGTGTAGAAGGTAGAGCGAAGTAAGGTTTCGTTATGGAACGGCGTCGCATTAATGGTTGTACAAGGTAGAGAACTTTATACCTGCCGTGATAGAAGCCACTAAAAGAAATATAAAACTCATGGTGACATGACCCGTTATATAAAGGGCAGTTATCAACAGACCATTTAATTTGTGCTTCCGGTTTTTTCTTTATAGGCTGACGTTTTTCCTCTCGGACTTGTAAATAAAAGGCCTCAAAGTGTACGGCGCCGTGGAGAAGACGTTTCACCCGTTCGAGCTGAGCAGCAGGTTCGTGACTTTTCCAAATTGTTTTAGCTTTCTATTATTCACGTTTGCGTTTACCAATATATACTTAAAGATAGCAGAGAATTGAATTATTCATAATTTGGTGAAAAATACATTATATGTAATGAAGCCGCGATATTTTTATACACGAACCTTTTGTTATATATATTTTTTTTATCTACAAGAAGCTACAAAGCATGTAATTTGTAATCGTGATTATTAAATCATATAATATTGCAGGCTTTCCCGCGTGTTCCCCGGAACACTGCCCGGTATACAAGGTGAGTTATATAACATTCTATAATTGTATTTATTTCTTTATTTTCCACAATGTTAATTTGTTTATAATTAAGTAAAAAATACGCCAATGCACATTTATCTTCACAATTATTAAATTATTTTTATAATATCAATTTAATACTTATTAAAGTGTGCAAAAATATAAAAATGTTTAATCAAAGACATCAACATTGCAATTGCTGCAAAAAATTTTATACATATATACACAACATTTTTTTAGTATCTAATACTATAATATATACTATATATAAAATATTAAATTTGATATATATAAAATCGAGAACACTACTGATGATACTTGGCAATCAGTCGATACGATAGCAACAAGCGTACACGCCGAAGAAATCAAATTTATAGAAATATATGTATCGTAAGACAATAAGTTTTTTTTTCGCGTCAGTGTCTGCAGGTTAATTCGTATTAATTTAGTGAATGATCAGCTTCGAAAGCCCGAATGAAAATCTGGCCGTAAACCTATCCATTTCCTAGGTACGTACTTGCAGTAAACAGAAGATTGTATACAACCGCGTCGCACTAAGCCCATAGCTACTAAACCGCGCGCATACCACCTATAAATGGGCGGGCTGCTATAAAGTCCATTCATGATCGCGTCGCCTGTACAACAAACGTCGGGTGGCTCGCGCCTCCCGCGCGATTTATTACACTCGTATTCAAGCGCGAGTTGTGTTTCCTACTTAGTACACGTGTACCGACATGATCGCGACTCGAAATCGTCCTATTGTCTGTCTGGTTCGCCGCTGATGACAGCCCAATCGACCCCGTTTTCGTCATATTAGAGCCCCATTTATTATGTAATTAGGTATACTGCCGATACTGGACGTCACGAAAATCTTAATATTCACTAGGCAAATTTTTGAGGAGTATTTAAAAATATATATACAGTATTTAAATATTATGATTGTTTATAGTAAAGAAATAAATGTCACATACAAAAGAATCTTTTTTTTTATTCGAAGAAAAGATCATTTTAAACTTTTATTTTATAAATCTAAATACATATTTAAACGTGGAACAGTCGGTTTATTTTATTGACATTAAAATAGCTTTATATTTAAAGTAATAGCAAGATTTATTTTACTCAATAAATTTTTAAGTTATTTATTTAAATATTTATTAAAAATTATATAATTTGACTTATAACTTAATAATGAAAATTGGTAAGACTTGAATCTATCCAATCTGAAACCATTAAAATTTTTCCTTAATTTGAAATCTCGTCGCGGAATTCTACGAAAAATTAAAGACGTTCTTACATTTCTGATTACTAATACGTGATCATTAACACGATTCTCTCGTGAGTAACACAGTCTGATGGCACACGACACTGATGGACAGACAGATGGAAAGCGTGTGTGCTACCGGAGTTGTTGTCAGACCGTTTTACTTTACTGCCCATAAAAGTACCGAGATTTAGACTGCAATACTGCCATGACGTATTGCTCGCGTTGCGTGTACGTGTATGTACGTTATACACTATCAAAGATGACTCCGACTGCCGCCAGGCGTGATCCACGAGGGCATTTCGCCAACCACGTGACGTTTCGTGGGAAGGAAGGCGCGAGAAATTTGGATGCATTCCTAATGAGGATCGATAGTTCGTTCTTTGAATAATCGTAATTTGAAATTTTATAGTTCTAACAATGAATGAAGAAATTGAAATGCAAGGCAAATAGGCCCGCTTAGAATCGAGGAAAGAAGAATCTTTCAATTAGGATAGTAATATAAACATGTGTGTAATGTAAACATCGCACAAAGGTTACTTATGAAGAAGCTTAGCTATCTGAAATTGACAAACCGGTCTCTGATAATTGTAACTATACCTGCGAGCACTAATATAATGATAACCGTAAAATGAAACTGTTAAATATAACTATAACCGTGACTAAATTATAGCAATAAAGATACCAGCAAGACAAGGTCGGCTATATATTATTTATTGCTATTATTAGGACAAAATATTACTAACACTAGTAAAAAAGAATCGACTCATTAGAGTGTATTACATCCAAAGATAAGATTCATTACATAATAATATCTTTAATTCTTTGCTACTTGTATCGAACATGAATAATATAAGAAGATTATTATTCTTACAATATCGGATCCAAAAAATTTAGTTTAAATTTTATAAAAAATTTGATTTAAAAATTTGATCATTTTAACATAGACTCAAGTTTCGCTAATTGCAATTATGACAAAAATACGCTTTATTGTCATAATAATCATATACTTTAGTATCAACAAAAAGGAAAAGAATTGCAGTCTCTCAATTCAGTAGTACAAGATTTATTAATAGAAGACACTATATCAGTAACGGTATTCAGCAAGTACAGTTTCCTATTAAGTAACTGGAAGTAATTACTATCGTCGTCCTTAGTTCATAACCGTCTCATATTTTTTTTTTGCCGCGAGCCGACTGACGTTCTCGAGAAAAAGCGGCGGTATTGAGATTCGATGTTTCTCAATACTCGTCGAGAGCCAAGAAGAGCAGCCTCTCGGTAAGATAGCCGGTATGTCGCGCTCGCTGGCCTGCGACGAAGAGAAGAGGAAGAAAAGCAGATTAGAGCGCGCGTGGTAGGGGGTTGGGGGTTGGGGGGAGAATGCCGAGAAACGTGCGCGTGAGAGAGAGAGCGAGAGAGCGAAAGAGAAGCGGTGGGCACGAGAGGAGGGTGGGAGACGAGTCCGTCCGGGCTTCGCTTGCCAAACGATCCGAGAGATCGCGCTCGCGTCACTTTTGGCTCCGTTCGACTCCAAGCCGCGGGCAGAGCGCTCAGTTGACGCTCAGTTCGGCTCAGCGAGGCCAGCAAGAAGAAAGGGGGTTATTCCATATGTGTGTGGGCATCGTGCGTGTGTGTATTCGGCACACGATTCTCGGGACCGAAGAGGCGTTCTGCTACCTGCCGAGAGAGTCCTTCGGCGGCATTGCTCTTAATACCGAGGGGGGGTGGTTCTACCTGACCCGATTGACCTGAGGAACAAAAACCACGAGAGAGAAAAAGGGATTTCGCTCCGATCTCGGGGACCCTTCTCCCTCTTCTCAGACAAGACTTTCGCCACGTACTCTCCGGACTCTAATGCACGAATTTTCGCCGTTAGTGAGTTTCGTGATTGGATAAGGTCGCGCGACGTTGGAACGTTTGATGAATCGCGCTCGGAGCCCCATCGCGATGGGGATGACAGTACTCGGCGATGTCAGAGACGGGGCGACGTGTGGCTCGTGTATGATCATAGGCCACGGGACGATCCTAGCACAGTCAGTCGCGCAGTGAGTTTAGCCCGCCCGAGAGATTGACGATTGCCAAGTGTCATAGCTGGTGCTCGCATCACAGATTGTGGCGCTGATTTTAACGTTTCCTTAATGCGCGACGATCGAGCGCAATCGCCGCTCCGAGTTCCCGCGGTCCGAACGATGTATCATCATCATCGCTAAATCGCGTTGTGTCATTTTGTTTCTGTTTCAACCCTCATTCCGCATCGTTGGATCGGACGACCGCATAACATTTGCACGAATTGCCAATCGACTTCCGCATCGACGACGTTCGCACGTGGCCCGCTCTCGCCGCTGTCACGTCCATCGTCCTACGTCCGTCGTCGTCAACGCCGTCAACGCCGTCAACATCGTCGTCGTCGCCGCGCGTGGGCCTCTCTCTCGTCCGCGGATTTGCCACGCACTTTATCGCGCCCCCCGTCTATCCTGCCTCTTCGCTTCCCTGTCCCACGTTTATCTACCCCTCCACCTGTCTGCCGCGGCGCTGCACACCCTCTCTCCCGCCACCAACCCCTCGTCGGACGACGCGCATACCCGCACGATTTTCCTTATCCCCACCCGCCTCCTCCACCGCTCGCTCCTCGCGCGCCTCCGTTACCTTCTCCGCACGCGCTTTCTTTATTTACTCCGTGAATTCACGGACCAACGCGGACCGGCTCCGATCACGATGAGCGCTCCGTTTCGCGGGCCTCGGTGAAAATCCTTGGACGTGTCGCGTCTCCTCATCCCGCTGGACCCGCTCGCGATCGGCGCTCCGCGAACACTGAGGAAACCGCTAATCTATACATCCCCGCTACGCTTATCGGCCACGTTGTTGTCACGATGACCATGCGACGACTTTCATATTTCGCGTGAATTCCGATCGACCGAACTGCTATACTATTCGACGCGCGCGGATCCGCGATTATTCCTGAACTCATACGGCGGTCACGGAACGCCATCGCCGATCGAGCCTCGCGGACATCGGCACAAATATCGTTGCAACACCGGCAATAAACCGTCACCATCTGCACCATCGCCGATCACGTGGCTTGCTCAACGGCGACGCTGTACGATAATGTTCACGCCGCGCCGCTATGTGGCTCCGGCGTGGGCCACCCTGGCTCCGTCACGCCGATGGGGACAGCAACCGGAGCGGGGAATTCCACCGGGGTGACCTGGTGGGCCATGATGAACGGTGCCTTCTACGAGGACAGCCCGCCGCCAGTTCCACCGACCGCCTCGACCCTCGTATCGACTCAACAGCAGACAACCTCGACGCCGGGCTCTCATCAGCAAGCGACCACCCCGACTTCACCTGGTGCACCGGTGTCATCGGCAACGACAGCGCCCTCGGCGCCCACGGCGAGCGCCAGTTCAACCTCGCCGAGCGCTTCCTCGGTAGCGAGCAACAGCGCGGCCGGGCCGTTGCACATACCCGCCAAGAGATTAACCGCGACCCCGGGAGGCGGTGGTACCGCTTACGGAGAGGTAGCCTGCGTGGAGTCGTCGGGCGCGCCAGGCGGGGCGGGCGTGATACGGCACTCTCACTCGGCGGGGTCCCAAGGCGGCTGGAGTTACAGCCCGCATCATCCCCAGGACTCCCACTACTCGTCCACGGCGGGCGAATCGTTGAACCATCATCAGGCATACGGGGGTAACAATCCCCCGACGTACTACAACCTGGCGGCCGATCCTACCTCGACCTCCGGCTCCTCCAGGGACAACCGGAAGACCGGGCTCTTCTGGTCGCCCGCGGCCGTCACCGCTGGATCGGCCAGCACCGCCGGCTCTACCTCCGATTACAAGTCTTACAACTCGGCCGGCGCGGCGACCACGACGTCGAGCACCGGTGGCTCGACCACCGGGGCCACCGGTGCCGCCGACCCGGCCGTGTCCTCCTGCCATCAGAGCTTCTCCCAGAGCTGGTGCAATTACGCCCCGTACACGACGGCGAGGCATCACCATCCGGTCGACACGGCCGGGCATCATCATCCTCACTCGCAGGCGGGGGTACCGTATCTGGCGCCATCCGCGGCGGATGACCGCGGCAGGGTCGCTGCCGCTATGGTCGCCGCGGAAGGTGCCTTTCCTCACGATGGATACGGCGGCCTGAGAAACTACGGAGCGCCCGAACCTGTTACTTCCAGTCCCTACCCACCTCCAGGTAAGCATCTACTCCGACGTGCCGATTTTTCTCGTTTCTCCTTTTGTTGCTCTAACAACTCATCTCGACAACCTGTATCTTCTTGAAACTTACGCGTAAGAAAAAAACATGTAACATCTCGTAACGTTTAATGTTACTAACAATATTTTTTATTCTTAACATTTTTATTTGTGTTGTTTTGAATGATCAGAGAATGCGAGAGAGAAATTGATTTATTAGAATCATTCTTCTGCTGTTTGCAACGTGATAAAACTATTATGCACTCTCCTACAACCTGAGGAGTCCGTAAACCTCAGGTAGTTTTCTGTTTTCACAGATGCCATAAATCGACCATAATGTACCTCGAACGTGTCGTGAGGTCCGGAAGAAGGTCCGTTGAAATTAATGAACGCGTGAAATGAAAATTTGCAATTAAATTCCTCAGCTTAGGGACCGAACGAAGACGTCGCGTGGAACGATGTACGTAGGCATGTACGCCGCGACAAAAAGATCGTCAGTAATTTAACGCTAATCGCACGTGACTTCCTAAAATGGGCGTCCCGGGTATTCCTCGACGATCCCTGACGAACTTATTCGACAAGTAAAGACCCCCCCGCAGTCATCGTTCATTCACATCGTTCTCTTTTGTCCTTCCTCCCTTCTCTGTCCTTTTCTCCGGGAGACCCTGCAACCCATGAAACGTCGCATGAGCAACAACGAACGGCGGCGGGTTTATTGGCGGCCGTAACTCGTAAACTCTGGCGCGCGCCTCCGATCAGCTGATCCGTTCCATGACCCGTGCAGGCGTTCAGTCTTTCCGGCTCTAACGGCTGTTTCGCGCGCTCGTTTTGTCGCGCGCGCGCGCGACTATATCACCCCATTATTTTACTCCCGAACGATAATTTTTTCCCACATCCCACAACTAACGTTCCTTCAAAGGAGGATTAGTATTCTAGATGCGCCCCGTGCTGCTCGGCAATGTGTTCCCTTCGCGGGAAAATACTCGTCAACGGAACGGAAACGTCGCGGAGACGTTTACGAGAATAAAAGATACTTTTTAACAGGCATTAAAAATATATGCTTTGTAAAATGAGTCGTTAATCTTCCTATTTTTTTTAGCATCTGTTCGGGGTATCACGATGACATAAATCACCGGCAATAATAATATATACTCTTTTGAAGAAATAGCAAATAGCATTTAATTTATATGTCTCCTATTACGATACGATCGATGTACCGCGGATTGTAAATTATATTCAACATAATTATATCTCGACATTGACGTTAATTTGCCGTGTAGAAATATTTGAATTTCATATTAGGTGCGCGAGGAGAGAAGGCGTGTGTGTATCTCATCGATCGTCGTGGCGCGCGTACGTCCGCCGCGCCGCGCCGCGTCCTTCTGAAAATCGCCTGCCGCATGCGGCAACACGACACGCTTGCGGTTTATCGTTAGTTTGTTGCTCGTGCGAGCGCCATCGACGGCGCTCCGATAACTGAGATAACATTCGCGTGATCAACCGCGGAGCTTAATCGTATGCGCACGAAGGGAGGAGGAGTGTGCGTGTGCGCGCAAGCGTGCCGTACATAACGAAATAGCGAAAATACACGGGCGCGCACCCGCGTATAGTTTAACCGTAGCCCAATAGATGGCGGCTCCATTATCTCTGCTCGTTCCGCTCGGCACCAGAGGCTCAGAGAGCGCGCCGCTCTCTTGCACCGTATCGCGCCGAGCCATCCCATATTAGTCCGGGTAATCTCCGAGGAATCAACAATGCCGGCCAGGTGTCCCCCCCCCCCGGTCACACATGAGTCGATCTCTCCCGTGAGATATCTCCGTCATCGGGAGAACGCGGGGCTCGCCGAGACATTTATCGGTCCGCATTCATTACCGCGCTTAATTAAGTCTTTGAGGCCCACCGGTCATCATTATGCGCACTTATATCATGGGCCAGAATAAATTTTACATAAAGTATGGCTTTATCAAAGTCTGTCGGTTTCACCGTGAAAAGTATTTTGTATGAATAGTAAAATTCAGATGGACCGTTTGAGATTTATTTACTTCCTACTTGAGAGAATATACTATATATTTTTACATTTGCTTGTTTATTTATTTGCCTCATTACCTCTTAATTCTTCTGGCATCTGTGAAATAAAATTATGTCGCTGAAAAAACACGTAGGAATGTGGCAATTATTTGATAGTCCTAATCTCATAAATATGGTAAATTGAAGGTAACTGAATAAATTATATAATTAGTGAAGCATTTCGAAATATTGAATGAAATATTTATCGAGTTCCTTGACTTATATTTAATTTATTATCTTTATGTCAAGTCTCTTATGTCACACACGCACACGCGCATAAGTTAATAATGGAAATATGATAGATATGAAAGATGTCGAATGCTTCCAATCGATATTACACTCCCGTTACACGCGACAACCCCAGTTATGAACCCTTCGACTATTTCTATCAGTTCGGGAGACTTGCTGCAATTTCTGAACTACCACCAAATATCTTTCAATCTTCCAATATTATATCGTCCTTTTTATTATTCTTTTTATAGCCAAGTGCGACTTACTATCGTTTTAATTTTTAATATCTTTTAAAATGTACATTGTTTTTTTTTTTATAATGCTAGGTGTAAGTAATATTTTCTAATTTGTTAATATTTTATGCATTACAATGAATATTAAAAAAAGCTTTTTATTAATATTTTGGCTTATTTGACTAGATGCAAGATCAATTTGAAAAAGAATATTATTGACAATTAAAATGTGTACCACTATATACCGCTTATCTTAATATGCAAATTAAGTGGATTAAAATTCTAAGATCAAAAATATGTTTTATACTTTTTTTATTCAATATTTGTTCAGAAATTTATAAAAAATTAGAGCCGATGTTTAGCAATATGCCATTAATTTCGTAATTCATTCCGTGCTCTCTATCATCATTCGTCTTGTATCAATATTTGTGAGGATCCTGACCTTTATGAAATAATATTTACATTTTAGTGAGAGTATTGACCTTTTTGTCAATAAATTCTTATCGCTTAAGCAATCGCGTCGAGGCAACAAGAGAGCATATCAAAAGAGAAAGGGAAATAGGGAGAGACTCGAGGACGGAATCGAGGAAAATTTGATAATTGAACTGGCGTAAAACTCGAGGAGCAAAATTCTTCGTTCGTTTGTGCAAACGTATATTTTATCGATGAAGATATTTAATAAGATATCAAAGTATTTTAATAATTTGCATGTTAAGTGACTTGCGTTTATGTTTCGTTTTGTTTTACGGCTTAAGCTAAGAGAGAAATTATAGCTTTAATAGTCATAAATCTAGAGAACTGTCAACTATAGGATACATAAAAATATCTGCGTGACGCCTAAGATATTATAATGTTGTGCGAATGGCGTCCATCGCACGCATATGTTCCGACGGATCAAACATCGTTGTATCCGGTAGCACTATTTGTCCAGATAAGCTAAAGATATAGATGACCCGATCCCTTTGGTGACCTAATCCCTAAAAAATTTTGTGGACCAATATTCTTCTTATTATTAAATTAATTATTAATTAATTATATCTGATCGCAATGATAAATGAGAAACAATTTGATATCTTTATGCGTTGCAAAACATAATAGATCCGGGGAACAACCCTCTCTCCATTTTTCTATATATATGTAAAAAATATAAAATATCGGCTGAACAACCCGCCGAAAATTTTGTTGCATTTGCGTACACCAAGAAGACGTTTATTCAGTCCATGGCTGGGTTAAAGATAGACGGATGAGTCGCGAGCTTTCGTAATCGCTTCATTCCACTGGCGCGGCTTTGCCGTGTGTACCTTGCACCATCATCCCATCGTATATTCCGCTTTAACAAATGCATTCGCGTCGCTCCACATTCTGGGTTTGCAACGGAGCATAGTGTGCCCAGTTAAAAACCACCGACCAGTCGAGACTCTTTAGAGAACGAGTCTGACAAACGGTTCCGCGCTAACTCCGGCTTCATGTTTTTCGTGCGGTTAGTAGAACCGGTCCAATTATATCATACCACTGTACCAGGAACGACCACGGCAACCCTCGTGCGCATGTTGTACACGTGTACATATATACGCGCGTATATGTTCGAATAATGTTGCGCACGCACATGCAGCTGGAGTGCACGCTTTGACATTCGGAGAGTTGTATCAGGCGCGGATTTAGTCGCTGATGCGCCCAATGCAGATGTAATTTCCCGTATAGAATCCTAATTCGTTTGATATTTGTTGACGACTTTATTACGTAAAAATAGTAACAAATCTTGCATATTATTCGATAATTTATTATAAGAATTAAAGAAATTTAAAAATAGCTGCGTTTCTGCATTCATGATTAGCGGCGATCTGAACATTTTAATTTAATGGAATTAATACTAGATGTCTGCTTCTCTTCCCTTTTTTAAAGCTTATAATTTTTCTAAAATTGCGGTAGAGTACGTTTGTCATATCAGCAATTTCTCTGGATTAATACTGTTTATATACGCGAGATGATAAAATCGCGCAATATAAGTAAACACAATCTGCATTTATTAATTTATTATATGGTCTGGATGGTGGAATTATTTATAATGAACGATTACGGAACGTTTATTAAAAAAGAAAGAGTAACGGTATCGGTTACGCGCCGATGCACTAACTAACGAACCGATGTATTTGCGCTCATTTCTGCCAGTCACTTCGTAGTAGCGAATGGCGGTGACTGTAGGAAAAAGGAATAGATACAGTCACTTTCTTCATTCAAAATCCGCTCGAATGTGCCAGCGACTAAACTAGGAACTAGTCTATAGACAGTATAATAAACTTGTCTATAATATTTGCTTTATTTTATTTATTTATTTCTATTGATTTGATTATTGATTAGACTCTGATACATATGTAATCTAATTTGATTGAAAATAAATATATAATACATTTTGTAAAATCGAAAGCAGAAGGTGATATTGAAACCTATCTTCTGCACTGGTATCGTCGTTTTTAAGATAGACTTTCCTCACTGAATATTACTAGCTAGCAGCTAGGTTGTTTTATCATCGGCAAACTAATTGTGTTAAGTGATGTGGGGTTCCTCCCCATCCTCCTTGTTTCCCGCAGGTTCGCTTGCGGGTGTGGGTGTCGGGGTTGGCGTAGCCGGGATGGGCGTCGGGTGCGGCAGCTCCAACCCCCTGGAATGGACGGGCCAGGTGACGGTACGGAAGAAACGCAAGCCTTACTCCAAGTTTCAAACTCTCGAGCTGGAGAAGGAGTTCCTCTTCAACGCTTACGTATCGAAGCAGAAGCGATGGGAGCTCGCGCGTAACCTGAATTTAACCGAGCGCCAAGTCAAGATCTGGTTTCAAAACCGTCGGATGAAGAACAAGAAGAACAGCCAGCGGCAGACCCAGCAGCAAAATAATAACAACAATAATAGCAGCAGCGCCAACAATGCGAATCATCACGCGGCGACCGGTAGTCATCACCATCCGAGCACCGCGCACGCACCACCCTCGAGTCACCACGTGGTCGCGCAGGCGCATCACGCGAACGGCTCCACGAAGCATCATCAGTGACCCGTGGCCTTCTCTGGGGTAGTTTTCGGGCATCATCATCACAGCCATACCTCGTCCAGCAGCGGTGGTAGCCACGGGGGCAGCCATAGCAGCCTGGTAGCAGGTCACAGCCATAGCCTCCACGCACCGCAGTCCCAGACGCCGCTGCCGCCGATTCACGTGTCGTCGTCGTCGTCGGGCACCCTGACGCCCGCCACGGCCGTAGTCCATCCACACACGCATACGCACGCACACTCCGGCAGCCATCATCATCAGCTGGCGCACGTGGCTCAACAGTACCCCGCTCTCCTACATCAAACGCCTCACGGCTTGGCCGCCTGAACGCACCGAACGCCCCAGAGAAAAACCCGTCGAGACGCCTCTGAATAAAACTGAGGTGATCCCGCTAAACCGTCGATCAATATCCACGTCCACGGGAATTCGATGAAAACTCATGGACTCTGTCGAGCAGCCGTTCAAAGACTGCCTCTGCTAAGGAAAGATAAAAGCTCGCGCGTAGTTTATTATTATTAATTATTAATTATATTATTAATTATTAATTATATTATTATTATTATTCAATCAAGCGAAGACTTCGCTATTGTATAAAAAGGGCGCGTTTGGGGCCACTATTTCAAGCGGTCCGAAGACTCTTTTCGAGTGTCGGTGTCGGGGGTGCCGGTATTCTACGAATAATACGCGTCATCAGACGACACCAAGCAATCTGTCCAATTCGTAATTCGGTAGTATTTTCTCCAGTTATATATATAGATATATATACATAAAGTAAAGAGGTAATTAATGTCACTTAATGTACCCCTACTCCTCCCACCGCCCCAGAGCCTCCTCTTCCCTCTTCCAGTCGCGTCGTATGTTTACTCCGTCTCAACATCCCTGTCTATTGTTGGGCCCGGGTCTCGCACATTTGGAGATTGGAAACGTATCGTTGCAGCTACACCCGGGGCTAATTCAATCAAACACCATTGATTTTGCAGTTAGGGCTGGACGGTCCGTCGAGAATCGCAAGTTGTAAAGCGGATGGGTCGCTTTTAGGGGTAAGTGGACTCACTGATCTCGCGTAAGTGCATGTGTATCGCTCTTTAAATTAACTTTTCACTTCGGTATGTGTTATATACGATCGCGTTAAAGACCTGCAAATCTTGTCGATTACCTACGTACTAGATAATGCTAAAAAGTTAGTGTTAGCCAAGAATTTATTATTACTCGGCATTCAACGCTCTTAAGTCTGTTTTTCTTAAAACGTTAATTCGAAATGTGGATAAAAGCTTTATTGACATGTAGACTCGCGGCAAATATCTGTTTTCGGTAATATTTGAATTTAAATGTCAATTACAGATCTAAAAAACTTGCAGCGTAGTCCACATTTATCGAAATATATATATATTACTTATAATGAAAACGATTCTCGACTCAGAAAGGAAAGTCAAAGGTAGTTTGTGAGATATAAATACCTTCTTCTTTTGCTGTTCAATTATTTGCCTGTCGTGACAAAGTAAAATGTGTGGTAAATTTTGAAGTCAGTGTAGAACACGAGCGTATCCAAAAAGTTAGGCAGTTACGTTCACAATGTCGTACTAATCGCCTACCAAGGATCGCAAAAATTAGTACCTATAATTCTTATATTAATATTGAGGAAAAGCGTTTTATGTTAAAAATATACCTAGTAGCCAGATTAGTGGTCGATCGTTCTCTAGGCTGAGTTTGGGATCTTCATAAAAATTATATGCAGGGTCAAGATCGTACACTCAGTATTTTCATCTCCGCGCGCGGGCGAAATTCTTGCCGTGAAAGGAACAAAAAGTTGTGGTACTTAACGCTCTAAACTTTACCACTTGCTAACAAGATAGCGTAATTGTGTTATTTATATGATAATAATTGATAACACGTGATAAGGGCTTTTTGGCTTACGTTGCTAAAAAACCGGCGCCGAAAATTTTTTCAAAATTTTCGTATTTTATAACGATATTTCATTGCCATTGGGTATCCCAAGTCGACAAAAACTGGACGTGATATCGATCGATATCTTAAATCGACATTCGTTAAGTTTTAATATCTATTAAAAATTATTTTAATATTAAAATTAACTAAATATAATTGAATCGATATGTTCTTATTGATTATATTCTGTGCTTTTGACTAGAAACTTAAAAATATCTAAGACGAAAGTATTTGTTGATTAATAGTTATCAATAATTATACATACATGATCATTGATAATTATTAATATGTATGCATATATTTTTTTTTGCGTTCAGTGAATGTCACAAGTATTGATCTCTGTAAATATATCCAATGGATATGTCATCTGACGGACGTCTTCCGGTCGTTTTACATCTTTTGTTTAAGACCCGTGTGCTCATGTCTTTCACGACGAGAAGCGAACGTAGTAAAAAAAAATCGATCTCGTATGAACGAAGTCCTAAGCGCGGCCGGAATACAATTTTGAACAGAACATCAGCGAGTAAGTAGGTAATCTAATCAGGTGTTAAATGAAAAAGGAAACTATCCCACTGGATCTCTATTCTAAGGTGCAACATTATCTAAATTACAAAGGACTTGCTGAGTCCGTGTGAATGGCTACAATATATATTATATACATGTATTTTGTGTATGGGTATGTATGTGAGTGTTCGGACGGGCGTGTATGTATATATATATGTGTACGTGTAGGCATATTTGCCTACATATACATATATATATATATATATGTATATTTTTTGTGAGCAAGAGCATTTGTTTTATTTGAGCATTTGTGGTGTACGAATGTGTCACACGGCAGTGGATACGAATGTACGTTTTGTGGTACAAAATAAAAAGTAAATGCGCTTTGCACTGGAAGAATCGATAGGAAGAGAGAACGAGAGAGAGAGAAAGAGAGAGCGAGAGCAAGAGGGGAACGAGAGATGGATAAACCGGGAGCGAGAAAGAGAGGGCGAGAGAAACGAAAACAGGATATCACCGTGAATTGAAAATTCTTAAGCGTATGAGATAGCTGCGAACGATAGCAACAGATATTTATGCGGCTGAGTCGAGAAGAAGCGTAAATACAGCGCGATGATAGGACGTGGATCGCATAGAGTGAATCTGAATTCGTGAGAGACTGAGTTCCGGACAACTGTATAGTTCTGCCACGGTACTGTAACGGATAATTATGTAACGACGATAATATAATACAATATAAATGATAACGAGGTAAATAATTTCAAGTGGAATGACTAAATGGGAAATTTCGACCGGACGGTAGCGATCCTGTTGCGTTTACCGTGCCGTCCGAAGCTTTGCTGCAAGTTGATTGTAATTAGTTATTAAATATACCACTGACGATGTTTATTATGACTATTAAAAAAAATTCTTAAGATTATTATTATATTATATTATATTATTATTAATATTATTATCATTATTATTGTGAGCGTCACGTTAATATTATGTTATTGTTTTTATTGTGTGTTGTTTTGTATGTACCTATCAGCCTATAATAATAACATTATTACAATTATCTATACACCCGCTCACACACAGACACAGTAGAGGAACGGGGAAAGGAAGTAAATACACATTATTATCTTTGTCCGCTCTAAATACTGCCTTGATTTTCCGACCCACAAATTTATGGTGTACCAATTTGAAGAGAAATTTCCGATCTCTTAACACACAAACGGAAATTTTATGTTTTCTAATTCGTGAAAAATTTTATAACACTTTAGATTGTACTAATTTTCGATCGATAGCCTGGAAAATTCGTAGAATGAGTAATCGAAAACTAAAGATATATATTATGTCGTTGAGGTGCTGGAAAAGGAAAGTGGGATGCTTGAGAGATAGCACCTTTTTATTAAAAAAAAATTGTTTTATATAAAGATGTTTTTAAATATTTTTTTGCGACTTAATTGCTAAAATATTTTTCTGTTATTATTATTTTTATATAGGCGATAACAAAGCTATAACGCACCAAGTTATTACTGATACATGAAGTAAATGTAAAAATCACAATTGTAACATTTATGTTGTCCATCAATATTGCTCTTCATGCAGTAAAGAACTGTTAGATCTTTCTCTTGATTTGCCACTTCATATTGTATATTATCATGCGCTGTATCTGTAAATTATATGCGTAAATATTAATTGTTTAATATTACGTTTAAAAATCTCCATCCTTATATCACATATGACAAAAACATATAACAAAATATTACAAATAAATCGTCATGTTTTTTTTATCAAATTAATTATGTTCGACCCATTATGCACGCAAAAATAATGAAGAAAAATATTTTTGCAATCCTTTTATAATACATTTTAACAGACGTACATTAAAATACAATATAATTTTTTTTTACATAAACTGAAATTATACATAGTATGTTTGTGAAATTATTATAATTTTCCAAAACCTGAAAGTTATGAGAGATATGATATAGTTTATTTAAAAGCACTCAGGATATTGCAAAATTTTTATTTTAATTTTGTATAATATTTCGATACTGTCAATATATGAGTTATGCAATTATTTTATTTTTTGTACAACATGTTAACAAATCTTGCACAATAATTTTCTATGTTTATATTGCTTGTTTTCTTATAAAATATTATTTTTACGAGTTTAAACAACTTTTTATTTTACAAATTTTGGTGGTTCTAAAATGCATTACGATTAAAAGTAAATAAAATTATGCATAAGAGTTAAACGCTCTGCTATTTAGTACGTCACATATCAAAGCTTAATATTACATAGTATTTTTTAAATATCTGTAATATCTCTCCGATGAAATATATTATTTTGAATAATACATTATATACACGTACTATTCAATGCCTAATGTGTTTGTCAAAACGTAATGCTATTTAATCCACGAAAATTTTTAATTTATTTAAAGTTAAATTTAAACTTCTTTTTTAAAAGTCAAACGATTAATATGTTGAAAAAATATATTTAAACTACGACTTTATTATTCCTTTTTAATGACATGTCCAGAACTCGAGAAAAATATGAAATGCAGTAAATGCAAATTGTTTCCGTTATTTTTAAACATGTTTTTTTCAAAATGTGTGCATTTTATTTAATTTTTTCCATTCCTACATTTATCCATTCACATTTTAATTGTATTTGTATGATACTAAGATATGTCCGTAAGGTAGAAATTATATGCTACTTGTAAATAAAATTACAAGATTATTCCTGTATCGAAGTGCAATAATAAAATATGTTATATTAGTGCCAAAGTAATTGCAGAAAAAAAGCATGAAGTTCCTTCCGCATCAAACAAGAGTATACAATAGTTAGTCAAAATTTTTTTATCTTTTAAAATGTATTCCACGAAGTAAATACTTCTGTTGTATCCATACAATTACATATAAAATTTTTATAATTTTGTAGTAATAGTTTTAAATTAAAAATATTTGAAAACTAATTCAAATATATAGTTATAGGCTGTTTTTATATTTTTAATTTGACAATTTTTGTAACATACAATTATTTATATATATATAGTAGAACAGGATGTGTATATTTTACATATATGTGCTTTAAATATCTTTTGTATGCAAATAGAAAATTAGTTGTATGCAAATTTCTACTAAAAATTGCGAATTCAAATTATATCTAATGTATACAAATCGTTTGAGTACAAAATATATTTCGTCATTATGTTTTATTTGAATAATGTAGAAATATAATAGTAATGATATTACATTAGAGTTATTAAAATTGTTTTACGTAATTATTTAAAGAACTGAATAGTAAATTAATTATTACGCAAGATTGTATAAATTATGTAAGACATTTTAATTAATACATAAAATGTAATAGATGTGTTTAGACTTTAATAGATAAAACATAGGATTGTATCTTTTAGTCATAGGTCTATTATTATATTCTAGGATTTTGTACGATTTTTTGAAAAGGACTTCTAATTAAAAATTTGTCGGTAAGTATTGAACATATAATGCATAATATATTATTTGTTTTTTTGCAAAAAAGTTAGTTTCCATATATTTACACAATATATGTTTATTTAACTTAAAAATACAATAGATTAATGGAAAATAGATACCTATACACAGCAATTAATAAATTCAGAGATATACAGAAAATTGATAGAATCTTTTTTGACAATAAAGCAAAATTTTAATTTATATAAATAAACATTAAGAAAAGATCTGTCAGACAAAAAAGATAATTCCATTTATTAAAATAAATAAACTGATTTAACAAAATAACCATAGAACATAATTTTTGCTGAAATATTCGTTAATTCAATAATTTCTTTAATATACAATTTAAGTTTCAAAATTTTAAACAATAATTTTTGATTAAATTATTGAAATATGTTATTTTTTGTACAATCCATTTAATAACTTTGAAAGCATATGGTGCACATATTTAGTGAAATATGGTGAAAACGTTTTTTTGTAAACCGTTATGCCATCCATTGAATCCATTGATTGAGTGTTCGACTTTCCAAAAATAAAAAAAATTGGGTCCAAGTCACGTCATCCGATGTTTTTCCAGCAGTGAAGAACAGCGGAATTCTTTAAAATTCTACTCCTTGATGCAAAAAAAATTAGAAACTTTGGTCGCAACTTTCTAATCCTGCCCTAGCTTCACTCATATCTTCAGTTGTGTGTGATACTGTAACGAGTGATAATGTAATGCTTGCATGATATCATTTAAAGTTTTCTTTTTACTTAAAAATAACTAATAATTTGTGTTGGTTAATTATACGGTCACGCTAGCATATAAGTACTGTGGTGAAGTTATAATTTGTAGCTATACATATATGTAGGTACATTTTATATGTATATAAAAAGACTAAGAATTCAACTCTATGAAGACTTGTTTAAAAAGAGACACGTAATGGAAGTTTTATAATGACTTTACTTCTTGAGCCACTACTGCGTCGAGTATGTCATAAATTAAGTAGGTTTTTATATTAAAAAAAAAATAAATGTTTAGATAATTACAGTGACTATCAAAGTGACAATTACGTGTATATGTATATAGTAGAAGTGATAATTTTGTTTGAATTATATTTAAATGACTGTGGAAGTTAATTATAAAGTAAAAGAGAAACTAGCTCGTATATCAAATACTGTAGAGAAATTAAGGATCAATAAACGAGTAAAAATAGATGTTACAAATTAAATTACATATTAGCTTCAATATAATATAATTGAAACGTTTTAAACTACACCGAGTTTTCAGCCAAATTATAATGATTATAGATTTAAAAACTAAGAACCTAATAATTAAACGATAAATAAATAAGATTAAAATATAAGAACAGATAATATAATTACCTAAATGGTTTATAGACATGCACCTACTAGTTATTTTCTAATTCACAAAATCTCGAGAATATACAATGAATAATTTTAAAATAAATTTAAATAAGTATTATATTAAGAATTATATTAGATTTATGTACCTGTCTGTAAGTATTTAACATGCTTCAATTTAAAGACTTAAGTTTAATATTGCTTTGTTATTAATCTTAAAAGCACTTTGACGTAGTTCTTCAAGTATAATATTCTCTTTTATGTTTTTTATTTTGATTAATTTACATCAGTTTCTGTCAATTTTAAAATATTTATATTTAGCATTGTATTTCATGTTCACTACAAAATTCAATCAAAAACGGTATTCCCGGTATTCCGTACATATTGTAAGGAAAGTTCAACTCTTTTTCTGTCTTTAATTACGTCACCTGGCGAAGGTTAAGACAGCCTTCCATTTGTCACGAGCCTCGAACGCACAATGTTTTCTTTGTGTTTTTTTTTCTTGAGAACTGTATCTTACAGTGACAATCTCCATTACCTAAGACCCAAGCTATGTAATTATACGATGACGTAGTAATTATTCTGCTGCAAATAATCGGCTAATGCGCAATATTTCTAAACAACTTCAGACGGATAGAACTATTCTGTTTGTCTTCTCGTTTTATCCTCCAAAATAATTTTGCCAGAGAAATAGTTTTTATTCGTATAACATTAAACGCAAAAGTTATTCCGGAAAGTATAAAATACTATACAAAGTAGCTATTATCGGTCGTTTCTACACAAACAGGCTAATAAATATTTTATGATGATAGACGCGCGCATTAATTCCCCCGATTTGCATTAATCAGCAGATGAAATTCGGATAAATTTCTTTGTATCGCGCCGAAAGACGATTCGTATTATTCGAATGGGAGTCTCGATGTGCAACATTGTCCGAAAAATGACCAATAAGAGAAGCTCCCAGGTCCTGTCCTAATAAAAGGTTGACGGAACGTCCTTCTCTCTTGGCAATTCGGTGAAGCCAGTTCTAGCAACAAGAGAAATATCCGCCCCTCGTGCTACCTCCCATTCGGCGCCAACTTAGTAGAACCACCCGGAGCCCCAGACGTTCGAGGAGAGACAGGGATGCGATCTATCTGCAGCTCAGTTTTGTCGTTTCACTCAAATTGAATTCCACGTTACGAGTTGACTCGTGCGCCGACTTTTCCATTCCCTCGGGGATTAGCGCGAACCTTGGCTTCGCCGTATTCAACGTGTCACGTGAAAGTACGGAAGGATAAAAAGTTTCTTGATGCGAAAAAAGGAAAGGAGAAAAAAAAATAATCTCAAGTTCCCACGCCTCTTTGCGACACTGCATCGCGGCTTGATGCAGTTTTGCCATTTCGCCCGGATTGCGCGTTAGTCTGGAAAAGCAATTTTCCGCCTGGATTATAAAGCGGCAGAAGGCTGGAGATATATCATGACATTTTTGCGGCATTGCTTGATGGAATTTTTGAGGTAGAGAAGCATGATACATTTTGCATTTTTCATTCGAACGCACCTCCTGTGATCTACATAAATGATTAAATGAGTCTTCTGTTATGTGACTTGCATAAATATTTTACATATAATTTGCTACTTCTCAACAATGCAAAAATATTTTCAATTTTTAATACTTGCGCTACAAAGTTATTTATTAAAAGAATAGAAAATTTCAATTAGAAGATAATCTTAATAAGACGCTTATTAATTTTTTTAAGAAAATTAATCACAAATAAATTTGTTTGAATATCTGTC